ATGAGGTTATAACGTTTTCACCTGTTGATGTTGCGTAAAATGATTAGTGTTTTGGTTCCTAGGTGAGTTTCTTTCTTCTTTTTTTTCTTCGTTGTTTGAACTCGACTTGTGAACTATAAATGTTTTGGAAGTTGGAACAGTTCAGACGATAGGAATTTTAAGGCGCTTGCATAAATTGAAACAATAAAAACAAAAGGAACAAAAAGAAGCTCACCCAGGAAATGGAGTTGGCCTTCCGACCTAAAAAGAAGTGAAACCTCCTTACCTCATATTCCAGATCCGCTTATGTATAGAAAGTCGTAAGTTATCAGTTAGTAGCCATTATTAAGAGAAAAGAAGGTCTCACAAGTTGGATTTCCTTATTTATCAAGCGAGCAGTCCATAATAGCGTTGGGGCGCGCTCTGCCACGTACCGACGATCGCGGCGATCGCCGCTGCTGTCGCGAAGTATGAACGCTGCCTTACATGTGGCGCCACGTGCGCGGGATTCGCACCAGGGCCTGGTTGATTCAAATTATATGTGCGACAGCTTGTCTCTTCGAGCGGCCAAGGAATACTAGCTAGTTTGATCCTGTCACCGCAATGCAAAGCTCACAATCAACACCAGAATCACTAACCATAAGACCCGTTGCTAACGAAGACAGTCTCTCCTCTTAGGCTATCTCAATAAGGGCTCATCGGATATTATGTAGAGCACAACGAGAAGTCGTATTGGGCAGGAGAAAGGGGGTTGTGTTTTGCAGTGAGAAGTTTTTCTGATTGGTGTTGCTCCCGTTTCACTCCCCCCTCCTCCCCTGGTTCGCTGCAAAACCACTATCTCTGATAGCTTAGAGGTGTCTGCCTCCTCATTCGCTCGACTGTGGAATTTTAGGAAAACTCCCTACTAGTCTAGGTGGGTTATGAAAGTGGGTCGCACTAGAGGAGGAACTTTGGAGGTGGGAGGTATACATACACAGGGATTAACATCGTCGAGAATCCCTTCAGCGGGGTCGTACACGGTCGCTGGAGAGCGTTAGATCGTATTTGTTAGACAGTGTTGGATTGGTGACGACCCCACCCCCACCCCCTTGCTCGGCGGCTTTTCTGGAGGAAAGCTGGAAAAGGGAGGAAGTCACAATTTGTGATGCTATACTCTGTTTACACAAAGTGATGATGTGACCTGATCTCAACTCTGAGATTCTCAGTTTTCTCTCTAATTTGAGCCTTTGCCTTGATAGCCTCATCGAATAAATGGAAACATTAGGTTGTCCGGAAAGTTCTCAGCGTTTTGTGCTACTATTTTTTGTACATTCATTGCTGATTAAAAACTCATTCTCCCTTGCGTCTCAGTAGTACATCCTGAAGAGAATTTTTGCGCTATCTGATGGTATAATTACTGTTTCTCCATTGCTTGACGA